ACTAAAAGACTGATTATATTGCAGCGAAAAGCGAGTGAGCACGGTGGGGTTACATTTGTACACATTGCCCTTTGTGAGTGCACATAGCTATTAGCCTTGTATAAATGGGAATATAAAAAAAAAGCCTGGGCAAATTCCACAGGTAATCTATCACTGGGAGTGGGACCGGCCCAAACAGGCAGAGCAGGGCTGGGCTTTGCAGCCAGAGGCCTTGGAAGTCTTCACTGTGTTTATGTGGCAGAGCTGGGCTTTGTACTTTCACTGCGCCTCACTTCCACACAGACACGGGGAAGGACTACAGCACCTGAGTTATGACCCTAAAGCGTTAACAGATTCACATAAAAAAAAGAAACATTTTCCTTTAACTCAATTATCATCCTCTTTTTTGACAAAAATGGAAACACACTGTACGGCGCAACATTTTCTTTTTTTCTTGAATTTTAAAGTTACACCCTGGGGTTTTAAACCCTTTCAGTCTCAAAAGTCAACACTCCAAGATAAATATCGAGCCCCAGCTGCAGTCGTCATGGCAAGTGTCCCATATTGTCTCAAACAGAGCAAACAAAAGTGCAGTGATTGCTCAACAGAGCCTGTAGGTTTGTCAGCCATCCATGTTCACATATTTATCCAACAAGGGTTCATTAGATGAGAGGACTAATAAAAGAAAAGGGTGGAGATTTAACCTGAAAAACAAAGAGAAGAGGGCGAGGAGGAGAGTTTATTTTCACACTCGACTGTTTTTTTCGACAGTATTCCAGCCGTACATACGATGGTGCTGCGCGTGCAGCTTCTGCGACCAAATACAAAAACACCTCCATGTCAATGTGAAATCTATTATATCATAGCTGCAGGCTGTAGAGAAATATTCCATCTTGGAAAAAGACAGATGCACGAGCTGGAAGGTTTTTCCGGAGGTGAATGAATATACAGCCAACTTTCACAATCAGTGGAGTTTATGTGTTTGTTTATGTCTTTTTTTTTTAATGTTCTGTTTAAAAAAGCTGCCTGTTTACACAACTTAGAATTTATTGTATCAACACAATTTACCCCCCCTTTTTCATTAACACTTAGAGATATCCATACTTGATCTAGATCTGCCACGGAATACTGAAAATGAATTTGACAAACAACAACTTCCTTTTTTACTTCCTTATAATCTTGTTCTCCTGGTACGGACGTTGGGCTCAACTTAACTTTGCATTTTTATTTTTTTTTAACTGTGACATTCCCCGATCGGCACAGCTGCTGCAGCATGTGTCATGTGAACAGTAGCTGGAATGTGAGTGACAGTTAGCCCTGTGCTGTTATCATTTCAACTGTTTGTAGTTATTACAAGGGCCAACAAGAGAAAAGTAAAACAGCTGATTGCAGCTTGTGTAGCGCGGGTCTGCGCGAGAGCAGCCGACACCACAGACGCATGGAATGTCTGAAGAACTGTTCGTTTTCTGGTTTTAATGTTTTCATCGAGTGAACCTGCGGTGAAGGGAGAACACTGGAAACTCCAAAGAGAAACCCTGGCAAAATAACTATTGATGATCTTCTTCCTGAAGCCCATATTGATCTTCTGCATTTAGAACAATAAAACAATATTTATTAAACAAGATTTGTTGAAAAAACAGCCACATTCCATGCTTTCGTCAACCCTGGTGGGGCCTTCGTTGGGTAAGGGTAGAAAGTGATAACAGAGAGTGACACGCTGCACTTACTTTTCAGGCCTCGCCATGTTGTTAAAATGTAAGAGCTTTTCTTACAAAAACAAACAAAATTTCACAGTCTACAAAATATGTGACTTAAAAGTATACGTATTACAAACCAGAAGTGTGGACTCGCGTCGCATGACTTGGACTCGAGTCAGACCCGGGTCATCAATTTGACGACTTTAGACTCCACTTGACAAAATGTAAAGAGACTTGCAACTCGACTTGGACTTTAACGTCAATGACTCGTGACTTCACTTGGACTTGAGCCCTTTCACTCGACAAGACTTACATATTTATACTATACTTTCTCCCAAACCCTAAGATTATAAAGTAAGTTATTAAGGAGCGCTCTGTATCTCTCATCGCTTACGTGCGTGCGTCTGTGTGTGTACGTGCTGTCGACACAACATCCAATCAAATTAGACCCATGTTGTTTTGACACGATTGCATCGAGCAAATCAAACTGCGGGACAACAACGCGCAGGTGAGAGAAAACGATACCAAAGATCGTGTTGTTTGGATTTAAAAACTACAAGTTGGCCAACAAAAAACGAGCGGCAGTGATCGGTGGAAATATATTATTATTTTCTTTAAAAGGACTCGAAAGGACTCAAAACAGAAACCACAAGACTTGGGACTTGACTTGACACTTGTCAGTCTTGACTTGGACTCGACTCAGACTTCGCCTGTCTTGACTTGAGACTTGACTCGGACTTGAGTGCAAAGACTTGAGACTTACTTGTGACTTGCAAAGCAATGACTTGGTCCCACCTCTGTTACAAACTAATGAACACAACAGTTATTTGTATCAGTAGTTAAGAGAAGATAACTATGAATATAAATCAACAGGTTTTGATGAGGCAAAGTTCTTTTAAACAGTCACTTAGTTTCAGCCGAAAAAGTCGCTCTTCTTTTTTTCCGAGTGGGTTTTATTATAGAGAAGTTTCTATCACTGGCTTCATCGAGTGGTTTTTCCTATGATATTGATCTTACTGTTACACCACATGACAAACACTTGAAACTGAAAGTTCCCTCCTCATGTAACTTGTGGTTTTAGAAACTTAACATAAAGGGCAGAGGATGTGACGTACACAAGCCCATGGTCAAGGTAAGGTATAACCCTAACCCTCATAAGGCACCCTCTCATGGGATGTTTCAAGGCATCGTAGCTATTAACAGAGCTTGAATAAAGTGGCTCGATGTATGTAAGTGGTTAACGAAGCAGACTTGTGTCCGGAAGGTTGCAGGTTTGAATCCAACTGCTAAGTTACCACTGAGGTGCTCTGAGCATGGCACTGTCCCTCCACACTGCACCACTGTTCACTTTGGTGAGGGGTTAAATGCAGAGGTCACGTTTCGTTGTGTATGTCACAATGACAAAGAGTTCACTTTCCTTCCTCTTTCCTAAGGAGCTACAATTTTAGCTACGGTTTCAGAGTTTGTCCAATGCAAAGCTGCTTAAGGAGAGTCAGCTAATAAATAAATACAGTATCCACTGTAAAGATAAAGTTGCAACAAACACATGTACACTCTAATTCCACAGTAAAAAACCTTGCACCTAAAAAACAATTGCGCAACAGCCACGGCTGCTTTAACTGCTGAGTTTTAATGTGGATAATACAAGCTGCATGCTGCAGCTGCCACTGACAGACTGCCCTCTGCTGTTTATTCCTGATGCTGCTACAGTTGGAACAGAGATGTTGAAGCAATCTATGTTGGATAAAGACAATAAATATAACTGCGATCTTACAGAACTTAAAACAACAAATGTACTTTTTTGTTGTGAAGGTTAAAAAATATAGTTGGGAAAAATGTTATTTAACTGAAACCCACCCCCTCTCCCTCCCAACCCACCCCCTCCAGATAGTGTCTGAAACCAAGTATAATACTGACGTAGGAGAGTTTCAAGCTTTCAGATGATTGTTAGGCTTCTTTAAGTCTCCACACCCATCTCCTTTAGACTGGTATAAAAGGCAGGTGATACTCCAAGTAATTAGTTTGTCTAGACAGTTTGGACACGAGTTACTGGAAAAACTGCCCTTCCTGCAGATCATACATATAGTCTTTTTTTGCTTCTGCCTTGAACTCTATGATTAAAAAAAATAAACCATGCGGAATAAAAAAAAAAAGGCAACACTACTTGAAAAACTCACCCATATAGATCACTAAAACATGGCAACATAAAGAATAAAAAATATGCATTATTAGTTTGGAGATCTGCCTTAATAGCCAAACGATACCAAAGCAGATTCACAATTAGAACAATGTTCAAGATTTGGTGGATGATGATTTTAACAAAGGCTACAATATCGAGGTGATGAAGTAATACCACGATAATGGAAGTGTAAAAGTGACACTTCTGGTTATCCAAGAACATCTGCAATCAGAAAATATTTAGTTTTTGCTCTCTTTTTTTAACATTACCTTTTTAGAGCAGCATTGATCAATAACTATAACTAATAAATAATCCTAAAAATACTCAACTGTAAGGTGAAAATTAAAAGTTGAAAAATCTACGTCCAACATTAGCTAACTAGCTATGGGTTAGCCATTAAGTAATTAGTGCAACATTAGAAGGAATTACAAGGTCATCCAATTTTGATAGAAATCCTAAAAATGCTCAACTGTAAGGTGAAAATTAAAAGTTTTCAATATATCTTTCTAAACCAGAATAACAAGTCGATAACATCTATGGTGATATCTATAGGGTAATATATACACAAGAAAAAAAAAACAATGAGCACAATGACACCACTAAACTTTTTAAAAGTTTTTTTCTAGTGGTAATGTGTTTTATTTTGTTTACACCTCCAAACTAGTAAAAGTACTCTATTTAAAATAAAGGCCCAAAAACACTGCAGTCAGGTGGAGAACTCAGCCCTACAAAGACTAGAGGTATACATATCTATATCTATATCTATATCTATATATGCATATATGTATAGTGAACTGGCTGAAGCTAGTCCCTGTGTGTGTTGTTCACACTAGTGGTACTTGGATATACAAAGTTTCTGGATTTGGTAAAAAAGTTGGAGAACCATTGTTTTATATTTCCCTTTACACATTAGCAAAGTCAACAGAAAAACAACCTCATATGTAATAGTAAAGATCTAAATAGTAAAGACATTATTTGTTTGCAAAAAGTGCAATTATTTTGGTTGGACTTTTGAAAAACAAGCACAAAGTCAAAAACAATGTTGACTGTGAATTAAAGTAATTATGTTGTAATTGACATATGAAGGACTGAATAGGTCATTGTTTATCAGTTTTCCTGCCTATTGTCTGCTCGGTGTTGTTTGTCTGAGATATGACAGTGTCTTTGTAGCGCTAAAAATGGGACAGTCAGAATCTGTGACAGAAGAAAGGTGACGGAACACAGCACTTTCCCTGAACTCAACTCTACTAAGAGTGCACACTGACATCAAGTGGTCAGATGACGACTGTCCTCAGACAAATAAGCGACAACAAAAAGAACCGACTCATAGAGCTTAATAGCCTTTGGATCATACTTGTGTTGAGAAAGACTTGACTTTTCTTATTCTTATTTATGGGACTCAGAACGTCAAGTGGGAGAACAAATCCTGTCAAAAATGAATAGATCAAATTTCTTGGTGAGCCACTTGTTAGCTACAATACAAAGCCATTCAGCTGCATGTAAATCATAGCTTTATTTTACTGCACCTAATACAACCACTCCCTGATAAAACAAATCCAACTAACTGATAAAATGTTTTGGATTTATAGTACTAAATAAGAGAGATGTTTATGGCTGTAAGGAAATGATAGTTGCACGGAGTGAACTTACTGGAGGAGTGAGTGCTTGGGGAAGCTGAAGGTACCATGGGAGATGCGGTCCACGTAGTTCAGCGGGATCCTCTGGATTTGGTCACAGTTGAACATGACAAAGTCGTACTTGACGATCAGCAGGGAGTTTTCTGTGATGAGGACAATTCGCTCCTTTTCGTTATTCCAGTGGTCAACCCTATACAGAAGTAGAAAAAACAGTGTTAGAGAGTTTTGTCACATTATTTGAGATGTGTATTATTCAGTTTGGGCATCCCAAATCTTAAGGTGGCCCACAAAGTTGTGAGAAAATGCAAATTCAACAGTATAATAACAAATAACAACCAAAGGCGTGAGTGTGAGTGGATTTCCTGTGAACACCTCCCCCCCCGTGTGAGCTTGTCTTTTCTGAAACTTGGCACAGCAGCATAGCAACTGTCTGCAGCTAGTAAATTAAAAAGAGCAACATCACACACAGATACACACAAGAGTTTGGGTGTGTTAAAACTTAACTGAAAGTGTCAGTTGGACATGGATCTGTGGGATATGGATCTAATTACACAATCAAAAATCCTTCCTTCCTTCACATTTGGTACGATTTAGATGTTGATATGTTTACAAAGAAAATTAGTTATTATCAAGGACATTTTAAATTGTTATCCTATTGACGTCTGAGATACAAATAGTGACATTGTTGCCACCCTTTAGGTTGTTTGTCAGTTTACCCTGGGCCCAGTTTTCACCATTCTGTTAGATTTAGGGCGGGGGTGTCAGACATACGGACTGCAGGAAAAAAAATTGCCCGCTTGGTGTTTCAATCTGGCCTTCTTGATGAACATACGGACTGCAGGAAAAAAAATTGGTGTTTCAATCTGGCCTTCTTGATGAATTTTGAAAATAAAATAATACACAAACTCGTATGTTTGGGAAATGTTTTGTGAAATTATATTCCAATAAATGTGAAGATTAATTTAATTTTCATTTTTAAATAAAAACAAAGGGTAAAATGACAGACAGATCCTGGGACTAAAAAGTCCTGGGTTCATTCCCAGAGGAACCACATGCGTGGCGCCTGCGGAGGGCAGCCTAACACAAGAATTTCCCAAACATGGGATCAATATAGTTCAAATTATTATTATTATTATGTGATGTTGGCAATGAGCCAGATTGTCCTGAAGTTTGTCATTTCTTACAATCGTGAAATTGTCACTTCTTAATTAACACACAAAAAAACCCCTTAATAATTAATGTAAACTTTAAACAAATGTATACTACAACATGGTCTTTCGAACTCACTCTGCCACCAGCCAGAAACCTTGAATGGCTCCATCTACTTCTTTATCCACCAGTCCTTCAACATCCTTGATGGCCTGATTCAGCGTGCCAGGCTGAGGAGACAGAAATTGAAACAAATAATTTTTTTAGTTCACAACCGGGACAATTTACACTGTACGGACATACAGGCACAATTTCAGTGCATCATTTAGTACAACTGCAGATTCCAATGGTTAACCCGGATCATCATTTGCATTTGACTTCAGACTTTGTTCTCCTGAAAGTGTAACCTGATCATATTGCAAAGCTGGCCTGGTGATACTGTACTTCACCTTCAACCACAAACTGACACATCAAGCCTGTAATAAACAAAACTTCAATGACAACATGAACTGTGCTATTTCTAGGGGCAGATCTCAAGAGTGTAGTTATGGTAATGTATATAAAAAAACAAAATTAATTAAGCCTATTTGAACTTCAAAAGCCTAGAAATGTGAAAGACAATACTTTAATTGGCAGATATGATTTGGGAAAACAAGGCAAAACTCTTCCTCAAGCATTCTGGAAATGTGTAAATGGACGTTAGTCTAAGGGTCATTTTATTTCACAGTCATCACCTTTCCTTGATTTAAGGATTTTGAGTTCTTCGAAATATGCTCAAGACCCCCAAATGACATCTTTCTCATTATTTCTTCCACAAATTCTGCAAGAACATTTATCCACAAAATGTGACGACCTACCAATAGCACAGCCTTACTATAGAATAGAGATGAGGTCAAGTTATTAATGAACAAACTCCAACTGTTGTAGTAACCTCAAGATGCCAGGTTGGAAATGTCTGTTCTTTAAACATTTCTAAAAGGTTTTACTCTACAGACTTTTGCTCCATACAAAAAACAAGTAAGAGACAGTTTTAGAAAACAATTTGGGGATATGACTTGAGGGTAGTCATGTCAACAACAGTCACCTGCCTTAGGAAGTATAATATTATACAGATGTTTACTTTATATTTTATAGCCAAACTAAATACATGAAATAAAAAGTATCAAGTCATCATGTCAATACTGCAGTCCCGAGACTTTAACTTTCAAGTCTAAGTCAAATTTTAAAAAATTCAAGTCACTCTCAACAGGTCCAAAGTGTAATAGTGGAAAAGATTCAAGTCCCAAACTTTGCAACTAAAAGAAAAAATAAATCAAACATTGCAGAGTGTAGCTTATTATTATTTGGATTATATGAGTGATTTTTTATTTGCAACTGAAAGTAAAAATGTAGTTTTAGAATTAAAGGGCAAAATGGCGTCAGCTAGAACGTTGTTGAAAGTGTACAAATCTGTTAGTTTAACAGAAACCAAGACCTTGTAAGAGCAGATGTTTCTACTGTAAATTAGCTTTTAAAGAACAAAACGACCAGTCGTCCAATCACAAATATTATTGCATAAAAAGTGGGTGTTAGCTCTGCAAAACCAGATGAAGAAAAAATGCTCGATTTGATTACTAAGCAGAAGATGAAGGAACCTGTTCTACTGGGTTTTCGAGTCCATAACCTGAAAAACAACAACCCGTTTCACGAGGATAATTTTACAAACCCGTGGTCACGCTTAAAAAAAAAAAAAAAAATAGTATTCATTAAATGGAATTCATATTATTATCCAATTTGTCGAGTTATCTTACCCTCAAAACGAAGAACTTCTTCGTTTTGAACTGTTGTGGAGATGAAGTAACAGTAGCGGCCGCTGCGTCTGCTGCTGCCCGTCCCTCCGTGCTCTCTGTGCGGGCTTTTCCGCATTCAGCAGCCTGCTCATCGGTGAACTGACTGCGGTCGTCGGGCGGACAGTCCTCTTCGGTGCTTGTGTCGAGCTGCTGCTCCTCCAGCTCTCCAGATATCTCTCCAGAGACAGTGTGTTCCTCAGCCTCTGACATGATGGAGCTTCACAGCACCTGTTCAAATAGAATCACACTGATTCTGATACGTGTAGGAAGTCATATAGAGAGGGACAGCCTGTCAGTGCTACTGTTTCACAGAAACCGAAACTTGTCAGAAACAAATTGTATACACATAACAATAAAACCTCCAGGAATAAACGGTTAACGCACAACAAAATTACATAAACAACAGGCATACAAACTTACCGGCACTTAAACAGGTTGTTACAAGTTAGAACGTCAGTAGTTCAACAGGTGCACCTACTTCCTCATTTCTTTCCTTCGATGCGCGCACACGTAAAGTATGTGAATGTGCGCACGTCCATGTGCACGTGAGAGAGCCAACTTCATAAGTCAGACATGATTGACATCTAGACAACTTTGGTTTAGTACTGTATAATCACTGCTCATTCACTGCCATACTGATCCCACAGACAGCCATTCCTTGTGTTCCTAAGATTAGTACCATGGTAAAGTAGTAAGCTAAGTCATAACCTCGGAAATGACGTCATATCACTGTTTCTTTTTTGCATTTGTCATACAAAAATCACTTGACATGGCCATCCATAACCCAACTATTACTCGAGTTTGAATCTTAATCACCAGTTGTTCTGTAAAAAAATGACAATTACTTTGCGATAGAAGGTGACAGAAAACAGAACATTATGTGTGTTGTAAGGCACCACAATATGGATGATGTCAACAATTTTAAATAAACTCCTGATGACCAATGATATCATTGGACACTCACAACCAAAAACAACCTTTTCTTCCAGGGTTCGCCTCTACTCTGACTGTCATGACAAATTCCTAACTCAAGATGTTTACTATTTGGGTTAGGAACCCTTTATATCCCAAAAACAATGTTTATTGTGTTTGTTTTAACTTATCAGTTTAGTTCTCCAATATTCATCGAAGCTAAAGTCTAATTCCTGTACAATAAAATCTTTGATGCATCGACAGTGGTCCAAATGTTTTTTGTTTTTTACCAATGTGAGGGTTTGTGATCACCCAGTATGACTGACTGCATTAAAGTTAAGAATAGTTGCTAATGACCAAAATAACCTGTTCATGTATAATAGACTGGCTTTGGCTTGCTTTGAATTTCCTCACCCAGGCCCTATTTCCACTTTTGGATTTGTTTTTCCTAAAACACAAGTGAACGGCAATAGGGAATTATCCCACTGGGAAAATAACCCAACAAGCAGATGTGGGATGAATCTAATTGTCAAAAGAAAGCAAAGGAGATATTTCCACATAGCACAAATCCCAAAATACCGTCACTATTTAAACATCAGTCTGTATTTATGTTAATATTTTTTGACATTGCACAGTGGAGTGAAGCCGCTTATTCTCAGGCTTAGGTCTGTCAATGAGTTCTCCCTGTTGTAATCTGTAGTCGTCAAAGAAATGTCGACAGATTTCTAAAGACATTCTTTCTGCATGGTTGCTTAACTACTCCCACATGTAGGATTTCTGGATTTCTATGCTCTTTAGTATTTGTTAGAATAGACAGGAGTCCAGATCCAATCATTTTCCATCTTCTGTCAGGCAATAAAACTAATCAATCCGTTGGAAGTTTATACGAAATGTGATGAGAACATAACAATGCATGGTTCTTCAGTTAAACTTTACCCGTCTCTGCTGGAAATGCTATGTAGATAAACTCTGACTTTGAGTGTGTACATGGTTATTGAGGTAAGTGAGGTCATTCAAATTGACAAACAATGGATGTGAACTGTTTGTTTTCTTCCATAGTTTTCCACTACATTTCAATCAACTGACGGACAGAAACATGAAAACAAAGCAGAAAACCTGGCCAAGGGGGAAAAAAAATCTGAACATGTCCCAAGAGATAACTTAACAAGAGACAAATCTGAACATGTCCCAAGAGATAACATAACAAGAGAAGAAGAAAACATAGGCCTGGACAAAGACAAAAGGGTAGGCCCAGAAAAACTAACAGGCCCAAACTAACCTTGGGCGAGGATACCTATGCCTACACCTCTGTAAAACATAGGGATCTGGGGTCTCTGCTGCAGACCCTAGGACCGCTGAGGAATGCTAAAGTCAAGATAGTCAGAGGGCCGGATGTGGAACATGGGCCACATAGGTCTGGTCTACTGTAAGTGCAGTTCAGAAATACAAAGGCAAATTAACTGTCTACACCAAGTCTCTCCTTCACTTTTTACACTTACTTAGCAAATTTTGCATAGATGTGAAGAGAGTAGAAAAAGATACTCATTTTAAATCTTTGTTTCATCTGGAGTTGATTTTGTAGCTTTCATCAGAATGTTCCGACTCCCCAACACAACTAATGATTCTAATAATTATAGTGTCTACCCCTGAGCTGAAAGGAATGTGCTGCATGTGAACTGACCAACACAAACTTACCTCTGAGGTAATTACCTGGCGCACATCTCTCTGATGACAGCAGACTACAGTTTGACTTGACCTTGACTGTTATGACCAACGGGCTGAGACCTGACCTGCCAGCTGTGGTTCACGGTGACTCTTCAGGTCAGTGATGGACAGCTCCAGAGGAGCCTGTGTGGTGCCTGGTAAGCTGAAAGTGATAGCACACACATATATCAGTGTGACGCAGGGCTGTAATTTTTCACAGATAAAAGGTTTGAGGTCCTGACCCTCTGTGACCTGGTTCAAGTCAGAGTTTCACATGAGAGGCCAATCTTTCGTGAGCACACTTCTGGTAGTTGAAAGACGGTATATAATGAAAAGCATGTAAAGCAATGCCTTGGTTTGGCCCAGATGATGTGAGCTAAAAATAGTTTTGTAGTGAAAGTGAAAGTGAATTATGTTATTGTGACACAGCACACATTACTGGCACACAACGCACACATTGAAATGTGTCCACTGCCCGTAACACAAACGGCTGCATTTATCGGTATTGGTTGATATCAGAATTGGAATTTAAGTATTTGGACAATATCGGCAAAAAGTTTATATCGGACATCCCTTATTCTATTCTAATCTAATCTAATCTAACCTAAAATAAGAATAGTCCTTTTTATGTCTCAAACGAAAGCATTCAAAGATCTTTGTTCTTATGGCGCTAAACATCAATTGCTCTTTTAAAGCAGTTTTGCAGTCTGTCCAGATGGACCACTGAGTGGCAGTGTTGCTCCAGTGATGATACAACTCCACCACTGAGAATATTTTCAATTGCACATGTGTAACATTTATGGAGTCATCAAAAAAACTCCTGCTGATTACAGGTGAAACACAGACTGTACGCTGAGTAAAAAAAACAAACAAAACAAATACGATAAGCACTACATTATCCTATAAATAAAAATATAAATCTGGAAATTCATACAGTCAATACATGTCTCCACAAGCTCTGGAGGTTTGTGCCATCATGAATGGAAACCTGTGACGAACAATGTCACCTGGTTTGGACAAACTCATCTTCGTGTCAGAAGGCACTTGTCAGACATTTTTGTGTAATTCGTCATAAATTGTGTTGTTTCTGTCATGTGTGAGCAGCACTTACAGCCTTGGGCTCTGAGCGTGACTGGCACAGGAAAGAAGCCAGAAAGTGATCACTTTGATATGTGGCGCTAACGGGGGGATGGAAGCCAGACTTGGGCTGATAAATTGGTGGTGGCAAGTGGCACATTTATTCCTAACTAGTTCCTTTTAGCAAGGTGGTATATCTAAGGCTGTGCACATTCCTTCTTGGTGTACACACAATACCAATTATAATAGTGGTTAGCTGTGGTTAGCTGTTTGCTACAGCTCTAAGGGGGCAAGGAAGGGGGGGGGGTCACTCTAGGTGAGTCATAAGAACCGGGGTTCCTGGAAAAACACAATCGCTGACAAAATGGATCTAGGTGGAAGGGTAAACAAAATGCACCCCAAGGCCAGGTGATGCATTTTCCCCAGGGACATTTGAAGGTAGAACAGAACTCTAGGAAAACCCCAGGTGTGCGGTGTGTAAACTCACAACCCAAGTCATGTGGAAAGTGAAAAATGGGAAATCATTTACAACGTTTAGAAGTTCTTTGTCCCTGATTTACTTGGGGGGGTGAAACAGCAGTTCAGGAATTCCTGCAAACAACGCTGCAGTGGAAGTTCACAGATTTGTCATGCAATGCCTGCAGGAATACAGTGCATGTTGTGATTTCTGCTTCACCGACGTTCTGTAGCCTGATTGTTCGAGGCAACATGCAGCTTCGTGTGATTTATTTAGCTTGACTGCAAGACGAGCAATAATTCTCTGCCTTCTCGCCTTCGATTTTCCCACACCGTCCTGAAACGGGAAAATAATTCCCCCCGTTTTACTTGCTTTCTTTCTGGATATCTTTTCACCCGAACACCTCAGAATTCAGTTTTGTACATGTGACACCTTACGGTGTGTTTAGTTAACAAACTTTGGTGCTTTATTCCAGAGGATTGAACAAAAGACGCGTGTGAAGATGTTGTTTCTTGACGCCCCCATCGCATCATCACATCTTCACATCATTGCCCATTATGTCAGGTCTAACAGACGAGGGAGCAGCGAACAGTCTTTGGAAATGAAAGGCAATGTGAGAGAGGAGGAACGCTGAACAGGGAGAATCATAACAAGGTAGCCATGCGAGGCACGCGGGCGTGCAGATGATAAAATAGAAGCCCACTTTAGAACAGAGAGTCCCACAAATCATACAAGTCCCCACTTTATCAAAGCCCACCCTCCTCTCTGCAGTCAATTCATGCCCTTACGCAGTTTTCTATCTCTGCAGGGAGGTGAAGTTTGAAACCAGATAAATAGTTTGCCCCACTTACCGCCAACTTGAGCACCTTCATTTTCCGTAGAATACTTGTTCAATGTAGCTGCATGATGTTTCATCCAGATTTTGTGTTTTTTTTTTTTTTGCTTGTTTTTAAAAAGACGTGCCATGGCTACTAAAAATAGCTCCATTGACCCACTTTTTCAATCAGAGCTTTCAACTGCCTTTCTTCTAAAATAATGGATAGATCACTGCACAGAGACATGACTAATAAATAAGCATGGTTTTTCCTATAGCTTTCTCCCTCTCTATTTTAACCTCTATACAACCTACATCACGCACTACATGTTTTTGCCCGTCTTTAAATGGTCAACAAAATCCAATTATTCCCTGCTGAAATTTAGGAAAAAAACAAAACAAAACTGTGATCTAGTTAAGATCCAGAGTTCTGCATCAGCAACATCCTACAAGTCCAACCAACTATCACCAAACTGCTGCGCAGTTATATTTTCCTGTCTTCCCATCTGCTGTTTAATCATAATAACACCGAATACAAAAAAGGGACCATGAATCAATTGTTCAAGCAAATCAACCGAAAAACCGAAAAACCAAAGAAAATCTTTTTTATTCAAATAAATCAACCGAAAAACCAAAGAAAATCTTTTTTGAATCCCACACATGTTGAGATTTAATCTCAAACTTCAGATCATCACCGTTATGACGTTGTGACTCAGACGTACAGTATTTGAGAGCTGTGGTTCGGCCGACTGCTGTTGGGAAAACATGTAAGAGACTTGATTGACTGCTTTAGTGGCTTGAGCAGGGAGCAACAGAGGGCAGTGAATGGTTTGTATCCAAAGTGCTCTGCTGACGTTTCTCTTTTGTGGCTGATTTACTTAGAAGTCTTTGAACTCCTCCCAGGTGAAGTGATAAATCAAAGGAAAAAGAGAAAGAGAGAGAACACAGAAACACATCGAAGAAAAAAGGAGAATCCAAGGCAGGAGGATGAAGAAAATGTGTTCTATTTTTTAACTTTTTTTATAATACTACATTTCTATTATTGCTATTACTATTGCTATTATTGTTATTACATCTTGAACAATGTTAGAGTAATAATGACTTTCTGAACTGTATCTTAGATATTTCACAGTGAGCTACTAAAGCATCTATGCATCTAAAGCAGTGGTGTCAAACATACGGTCTGCGGGCCAAAACCAGCCTGCTTGGCGGTTCAATTCGGCCCAAATGCACAAATACTTCATGTTTGTGACGTTTCGTCAAATTATATTTCATTACATGTGAAGATTTTCTAACACACTTGTACTTATTTGCATGAAAACAAAGCAGAAAAACATGGACTTATTGTTATTTATATGTAGTTGTGTTATGATTGTACTGGTCCGGCCCACTTGACATCTTATCAGGCTGTAGGTGGACCCCTGACCCAACATGGGTTTTGACACCCGTGATCTAAAGAGAGCAATGATAGGTGCAGTATCTTGAACTACTCTCCAAACACATTCTTGTCGACATGAACCTAAACAATATGCGCTGGAGTGCTGTTCATGGGAGAGAGAGAAAAAAAAAAAGAGGTCAGCTCCTATGGCAACAGAAAATCAGTTAAATGAAGACAACAGGAGGCTTGTGAACCTCCACCTACGTCTGCACACACACAAAAAAAAACATCACCTCCTCTCACAGACCCATCAATGCAGCTTCTTTTTAGTTGTATCGAATGCTAATGGCTTGTAGCGTGCTCCACTTAATGCAATTATTCCCAGTTGCGACCTATTTAACTGCTGTAAACAGAAATAAACAGAGGTAAGTAAAGAACAGTAATGGCCTGTCGGATCCAGTCAGAGGCTTTCTCGGAAAACGACAAGGAAGTCTAGAGGGAAGCACTCACAATTTGGCTTTTTTAAAACTGCCATATAGTCTAAGAAAGGCCAATTATAGAGATGGAGAGAAAAGGATGCAAAAGAAGTGTTAATAAAAGGAGACTTTTAAATCTGATTTTTTTTTAAGAAAATGAGCCATATTGATATTCATGGAGGAAAAAAAAACTAGATAATTTAACTTTGAAACTCTTCTCCTTTACTTTA